ACAGCTTGCCTCCTCAGCTGGCCTTGACATGTTTTACTTCTCTTTGGACACCAGTGCAGTGAGAACCCAGGAAGATGGATGGAGGAGCCAAGGATAGTATAATCCAGTAGCCTCTCCACTGTGTGATACCACAGCCCCACCCTCCTTCCTTTGTGTACCTGTTTGTGAATGCCTCTGGGATGCCTCAGGATGACGGCCACTTCTTCCTGCAGTTTGATACCAAAATAGTGTGTGTTCTACCTATCAGGACTTTAGGAGTAAATCTCTTATCTTACCATTGAAATATACAAGGCCTGGGCAATAGCTGCAATGAAATGCCCAAAGAAAATCATCCCTCCCAACTAGACTTCATCAAACAATCCCTTCATTATGATTCTTCCACACAGCAGTGAAATCCTAACCAATAGCATTGAAGGGAGTGCCTTCCACATGTGTGCCTCCTCTCCATATGATGCCTGTGAGGGGAATTGCACAAGCATGCAGAAGCATGAGGGTGGTGTGTGTGGTCTTTTTAGTCAACCAACTGGACAAAAAGCATCCTAGAGCTTCCTTCTGCATCTCCAGAGATTCAGATTCTATATCCAGGAATCCATACTGTCAAAACCTCCCACAGTGGTTCTGATCTGGTACCAGGTGAGGAAATAAGACATGTGATGGTTCCACATTCTACCCCGGTCTTGCTGCACACTGTTTCAAAACCTGTGACTTAGAGGCTTAATATGAACACAGCCTCATGTAAGTTGAAAGCCTTTGCCTTATACTAAGGCAAACCCACAGCTTTGTCAATCTTTATCAATTCCTTGAGCATCTCAAAAATCTCTGACTTCTTAGTTAATGGATTTCCAAATTAAACATGGCATAGACCCTGTGGAAGAATCCTAGAGTAACACGTTTCTTGTGCATCTACTGGATGGCAGGAGCTATTCCAGGCACAGGGGATGCAATGAACAAAACTGACAAATTACCTTCCTGGCAGAGATTATACTCCAGCTGAATAATCAGAGAAGAAGCAAGCATACAAATAAATCAACTAAATAATTCTTGGTAGTAGTAAATACTGTGAAGAGAGTAAAGTCTTCTTACTTTCTACGTCCATTCACTAAAGGATGGGATGGGGTGGGATGAAGGATGATTGCAGAGGGAGGTAGCTCCTTTACATACCATCGTCAGGAAAGACCTACTGAGCATGTGGCATGTATCTAAGACTTAGTGGAATGAAAGAGAGGCAGCCTGTGGAAATCTGAGGAACAAGGAAACTTGGCTTATTTGACATAGAGAAGACTGGCTTCCAGTGAACAAGCCAAGGAATGGATGGTGACCAACTAAATTGCTCTTGAGAATTCTTAAATGTCCTTATAAAATGCCTCCATTTATCAAGTATATTTTGTTTGAATTTATTTGTTTGCATTATTTGTTTTCTTTGCTTTGCCTTTGAATTTTTTATAGTTATGCGGGCAAGTTGTTTTCCTTTGCTGAACATTATCATAAGTGGTCCTACTTTAAAAGCAGGGTTTTTGAATTCTATAGCTGTTCTAAGGTAAAGTCAGTGATACTGTGATGATCATGCAAGTAACTGGATTTCAGTATATTTTGTTTTCCATGCCGAGTTTATAACAGTCGCTCTTTGCTATTTTATATTATCAAGCTAAAACCCACTTATTGCAGTGATCTTATAAATCATTGAGATTATTTCCTATCACAAAGTTATTATAGGCCACAAAAAAGAGATTAATTTTCTGTTTTTCTAAAACTATATTTATGATAATGTACTTTTTATGCCAACAAAAGAAAATATATCTTCATAATGTTTGCAGTGTCTGCAGCCTATTTGTTTAATTTTTTTTTTCATTCTGGCTGCCAGATTATGCTGCAGTTCTATGTCAGATGCTAAAATTGTTTAATTCCCCACAGTCTATAACCTGAATTAATGATATGTGGTATTTATGTCATTGACATGGAAAAGTAAAAAGCAGATATCCTTGAGTTCAGCTATGGCCGGGAGTTAAAATGAAGGGTAAAAAGGCAACAGAAGAGGAAAAGGAAGGGTGAAGAACAGTGGTTCTCAACCTTCCTAATGCCACCACCTTTTAATACAGTTCCTATGGGCCGCGACCCACAGGTTGAGAACCGCTGGTGAAGAAGATGCTTTAGAATATTCTGGAAGGACTTTCACTCCTCACACCCCCCAACTGCAAGCACCATAGCCCAATTTTCTCTGGGATTTCGACGTTTGAGATGTAGTTGTTCTGAAATGGCAGTTTGCTAAAACATTTATCAAGTTCTTACCAGATTCTAGGAACTCATCTAAGCCCATTACAATAACAACACACTAAATTCTCACAATAGCCCAACAAAGTACTGATGTCACCCCATTGGGACTCAGAGAGGTTGAGTAGCTTGCTCAGGCTCGCTGAGGTAGTAAGTAGGACAGTAGGGCCTAGACCCTGAGCATTGTGGGTCCAGAGACTAAGTTAGCCGGAGCACACTGCCGCCTCTCATGGCTTTGATACGACTATTTCATCTTGGGGATATATTAATAATAGCCTAAAATATTATTACCAAATTTGCTGGTACAATAAAAATTCCAAATGTTTAAAGACTGTATCTTCCCCCACCACCTGTTTTCCCTGAGCCTTATTCCATGTTTGACCGTCATTGCTCTGAGAAGGTCTTCAGTGAGAGGGAGCAAGCCAGTGGAAAGATATGGGGTATAGAAAATGTCAGGGTCACACTCATTTACATTTGAAGGGCTGCATAAAATCAGCTGGAAGAAAATATCCCGCTTCATACTTTCTTGCCTTGAAGTTTCTCTCTTCAACTTCCAAACTTAATGGAGGGCATTTTTGAAGTCATGGTTTCTAGCTAAATTGTTTTTGCTTTGTAATTTTTTGGTTGGAAATAATCCATCTGACAGATAAAAAATTCTTACAACTTGGGAGAAACTAGTGCTTGTAATAAATAATCCATACTAAGCTGTGATTTCAAAGGATGAAGGTTAATTTCTTGGTACTTGTTAACTAATAAGCTTTAGCCTTGTCTTTTTAAAAAGTTAGCAATAAAAGATGTGCTAATTCAGTTTTTAAAATGCATATTTTATTCTCTTAAATTTGTTTAATTATATTGTATGTATATACATATACTAAAACATGTAAAGGGTTTTAGGAGTTCATTATTATTCATGCCAGTGTTTGCAGCTCCAGATGCAGCCAGGAGCATCTCCTGCAGTGCAGGCACTGACAGCTCCTCCCGGAACATTTGGCTACAATAGTCATGGCTCTTTCTTTCTTTCCCTTTGGTAAAGATACTGCATGTGATGGCAAGAAAGCACAAACACGTGATGTGTCTTTTACAGACCAAATTTCTCACTATATTCAGGATAAGGACTTATTTGTTCAACTGTATCAATTGAACAAAATAATTCTTAACAATCTTCTAGAAGGTTATATTATTTTTAAAATGGAAGAATATGTTTCTGATATTTCTACAATTTATCTCTTGCTCAAAAAAGGGAGAAAGCTATATAATTGGAGTCCAAGAAACAGATGTATTAGCAGTCAAAGCTCCTTGTTATAGCTGTGGGGGCAGGTGCTTAGATTTCTGAGCACAGACATTCTAAAATAGAGTCCACCTGTACCTGTTTCAGGTTGATGGAGCTGTGGGTCCTCAGGTATTCCTTGGTGGGAAAGACAGGGATTTACAGTACATAATGTTTTTAACCTTTGTGTTTTGTAATTATTTTGTCAGTGAACTCATTCTTCTTTCTAGGAACTTTTGTCAGATGAATCAAGGAAGTATAAGATATTTTAATAATCTGCTTGTAATTGCAGCCTATAATGTTGACAAGATACGCAGCTTTGGCATCCTGATTTCCTAGTCACTAATGGACTCACTCATTTTGTGTACCTTTTAGTGTGGCAGAGAGCAGTCACATGATGCGCATCATACAACCTGAAGTATACTTTAAAATATTAAATATATATATATGCACATATGTAAAACAAATACAAATATCAAAGATATCATAATGTGGTGGTTGACAAGAAAAGCTTTGAATCAGACAGATCTGAATTTAAGCCTTGGATTGTCCATTTTTAATAGTGTCCTTGCTAAAGCCACATAACCTCTCTAAGCACTGTCATTTCTCTATCTGCATAATGGCGATAGTGATATTTATTTTTTAGAGCTTTAAAAATAACAAATGACATAATAAGTATTGAATAAGTGATTTTTTAAAAACAGAACCTACGCTCCTCTAATAAATTTGATTTAAAAGAGAACATGAGAATGTTAAGAAGTATCAGTTCCCACTGATTGTTTCTATACTGTTTTACAGTTTTAGATATTCACAGCTTTTCTTTTCATTTTAACATTTGATATTATTATAGAATACATCTTATAAGGATATATTCTATAATTTAAATGTAATTGGAGTTTATTTTTCTTTTCAGTACATGAAATAGTCATGTGTCCTACAATTGATATTTTAGATTCAATGAAACATAGTTTTTACGATACATATCAAAATTTCGTTTTCTTCAGGAGGTGATCGTGTATAGTGGCTGTGCATTCAGACTTCAGCTGTTCATAGATTATGGCAGATTCCTGAATCTGTCTTTGCCTTTCTTTTACCAGCAAAATGAAGATTTATCCCATGACTTTGTTAGGGTTAAATTAGATAACGTGTATCAATTTCTTAGCACAGTGTCTCATGCAGAATTGTTAAATGCAAACTAATAGCCATTATTGTTTTTGTTATCTTAATTTTCTAGTTAATCTGCGCATTCGCTGACCTGGATACCGGATCCAGTTCTGCCACTAATTAACTTTGGAATCTTGAGCAAAGTACTTAGCTTTTCTGTCTCACTGTTCTTTTCTGCAAAAGAATGCCTTGGCCAAGATGAACTTGAAATTAATTTGGCTCTGAAATTTTGTGATTTTATTGTCTAGCTCAGTCTTACCATAATATGACCATAAAATGAATTTCATTTGTTTCTTTTCAGTTTGTGGGGACATTCATGGACAATTCTTTGACTTGATGAAGCTCTTTGAAGTGGGGGGATCTCCTGCCAACACGCGCTACCTCTTTTTAGGGGACTATGTTGACAGAGGGTACTTCAGTATCGAAGTAAGTTCACATCATTTCTTCTTAGCTGCTTAGTTATGAATCGACAATGTCTTAATATAAAAGAGTGATAAATGTTATTGCCTTAGGGAAATCCCCAGCCTACAACCATGACTTTTAATACTTAATCCATAGAATCGTACATGTTCTATTTTCAGTAGATTCTCATGTCCTTTTTCATCTATAGGGATGCCAAGAAAATGATAAATAGTAAGATTTTACCTTTTGTGTATTTTATGTTTACGAATTTACAAAAATTATATCTTGTTTTACTTTAGATAATTTTATTTCCCACTGAAAGAAGTGATCAAAGTTGATAAAATAAGCAAGAATATTTTTCCATGTTTATGCCTTATGATTGTGAGAGTGTTACTTTTGTAAATTGATAGCAAAGTGTATGTGTGTCCAGGTCCGTGTTTGTGTCTGTGAATATGTGTGAGGACATTTACAGCTGCTGTATTTTGTCTTTTTTGGTATCTGTCATCTAACTAGGCTAAGTTGTCAAACTCATTAATTAAAACAAAACAGATAACCTTTGAGTTGAGGTACTTCCTCTGCCTCCCATCTGCATCTGATTTAGGTAAGCAGAAATTGCCTTCAAAATAAAGGCAAGGACCTTGTTTTATTCATAAGTTTTTTCTTCCTGGTACCTACTGTGCTGCTTTAATAAATATCCATTGAAATAAATGGTTTGAAATAGAATATGTTTTAAAGAATCAGAGCTCATGTATAGTAGCTCACAATATATGTGCTACTAAAAAAAACCTTAAAAGGGAAAATTATTATTCTTAATTAAACAGAGAAATTAACTTTAAGAAGTGTCACATTAACATCATATATTCATAATAATTATGTGAAAAATTCTGTTTAAAATTATTATAATAATTTTTAGCACAGTGGTTCCAGCACCAGCTACATACACCAATGGTGGCGGGTTCGAACTCGGCCTGGGTCAGTTAAAACAACAATAACAACTGCAACAACAACAAAAATAGCCAAATGTTGTGGCAGGCACTTGTAGTCCCAGCTACTCTGGAGGCTGAGGCAAGAGAATGGCTTACGCCAAAGAGTTTGAGGTTGCTGTGTGCTGTGACACCAGGACACTCTACCGAGGGCAACACAGTGAGACTCTGTCTCAAAAAAAAAAAAAAATTATTCTAATATTTTATTTACTAAATAGATATTTAATGTTGAAAAACATACAACCCTAAAACAGCTCTTTTTTTTCAAGCTATAATACCAGTTTTATTTTTGGGTTATTCAGTTCACCTCCAGTTGTATGTATATGTGTATCAAATACACGCATTTATATTAATATATATACACTGACATATATGTACATATATACACAAATATATACATATCAATGAAAATGTATAAACATGTATGTGTCTGCTGATACATTAATCCTTTCTTCATTTGAGGCTCACAAGAGTCTTAATTATTCATTGTAATGGTGAGGGAAGGAGGGGTGGTGATGATGTATAAATCCTGAAAGAGAAAGCAAATTTTCAGTGTTTCTTCCATTTGTTAATCAAGTATTGCGAAGCACATAAAATGTGTATGCGTAAAATGTCTATTATGGGGACTTTGAAGGATTTGCAGAAATGTAACGTACACCTTTGCTCTCTAGAAAACTAAATCTGTGTTGGAAAATATACCCATGAAAATCTATATAGCTAAAAACAAATCATCCACCTTTAATAATTTGAATGGATTATTAAAATCTTATGATAAAGGAGGTTAACTTGTAAGTCATTGGAATATAGAAAAATGAGGAGGTATTGAAGGCACATTCGGTTGGGAAAGATGGAATCAAAGTCAGGTAAGGTTTATTGGGAGGGAGAGTGAAGCGAGCAGCAATACAGAGCATGAAATTAATGAACCTTGCAAACCTTGGGGTTGTTTTTGGGCTTCCTTGACCAGCTTCACCAGCAAGGAAGTGCAATTAAGTTTAAATTTTTTAAGACTTTTGTATTACATCAGGGCTAGTGTCTCCTGAGGGTAACAACAACAAGAAGAAAGCTTGACATAATGGTCGTTTGAGCAACAGAAATGTTTGTTTCTTCCTCTGTCAGAGTCCCTAAGTGGGCAGACCAGGGCCGAGGTGGCCCAGTGTGGTGTCAGGCCCAGCCTCCTTCTGCTTTGTTGCTCTGCTTTGTGTTCATGGCCTCATTCCAAAGACAGCCTCATGACCCAAGATAGCTTCACCTATCATATCTCCTTACTACATTCAGCAAGAAGGAAAAGGAGAGGGAGAAGGCTGTGTTCTTTTGGTTGAGGATGTTTTTCAAAAGTGGCACAATTACTTCCACCTGTATCCATGAGTCAGAATTCGTCGATTTGGCCCTACGTGATTTGTATGCACCCAGCTTTGGGAATGACTGCAGTGGGCAACAAACAGCAATGGAAGGTCAGGGGTTTCTGCTAATTCCCTCGAATTAGGGTTATGTAGAATCTAAGTAAATATTTTAAAAATTATTTTAGTAACTCTTAAATTCATTTTGTTTATTTAACGTTATAGTACTCCTAAGAAAGGAGGATGAGATTGAATGAAGTAGATGTTCTACTTTCCTTGAATCTTGCTTTGGATCGAGACCATCTCAGGACTATCCTGTCAAGAGCAATTGTTTTTATCAGGCAAACAATGGATAGCACTGTGTTGGAAATTTTTCTTTAGCATCATAAGATTTATGATTTTTAACAACTTAGTTTATAATTTTAAAAATGTAATGAAAGGGATCACATTCTTCTGTATTTGTTAATTAAATACATGTTTCTTGAGTAACAGTTGGCACAAGTGGACTTTTCCTTCTTTATCCCACCAGCTTCATCCTTGGTTGATATGATTTCTTAATCTTACTGGTCATTACTTACCTTTTTTTTTAACTTAAAGAATACAGACTTCTGAATCTCTGGGCTCAATCCACTTTAAAGTCCCCAACCTTTTCCTACTTAATGCTTGTTAGAGCTCTATTTTGTTGTTCTGCAGTTTTGGCCAGGGCCGGGCTCGAACCTGCCACCCTCAGCATATGGAGCCGGTTCCTACTCCTTGAGCCACAGGCACCACCTGAGCTCTATTTTTTTTTAAAGGAAAGAAGCTGAGAAGCAGTAATCACTAATTTGTTCCTCAGCAGATTTATTTTTAATCTACAGTTACTCTAGATATGTGAACTATGAAAGTGCTGTATTTTATGTACTGATAACATGCTCCTTTTGAAATATAAGCAAAGAATCAAAGAATCAAACTGACCCTTGGTGACATGTCAAACTCTGTTATCAATGGACATTTAAAAGTTCTAACATGCATGTATCCAGTCCTCATCTTCAATTTTTTAAATTTTTTTGAAATTAAATTTAAACTAAATTTAGATTAAATTTAATGAAACTCTAGGAATCTGAGGGCACAGACCCAGGGACTTGCACATATACACAAAAATGACAAAATATCTCTTGTTTTCTGTTTTGATTCGATTATGACCTTTGAGAGGCTTTGGAGTTGCTCAGAGATAGCATCATATTTAAAATAGAACAGACTGTCCTATAAATGGTACTTACTGAGAATACTTGGGGGATTTTTATTGTGGATTAAGGAACCTGACATTGTTTGTGTTTTGTAAATCCTATTGTTTGCATGGTTAAATAGTCTCATTTATTTCTTACAGTTTTAATAGGAATATGTAAATGCATTCCTTTTAGGATGCGAAAACTAAGGCTCTGAGGTGACACTCACGTAGTAAGTGGCAATGCTGGGACTCCAAGTCTTTACTCTTCCCACTACCGAGGCCTCAGCCACAGTACATTCATTAGGTCTGCCACCAAGTACCACACAAAATGCATTCAGCAGTCGCACAGAACTGACACACGGTGATACATTCCCCCATGCATGTGCAAACATGTACACACAATTCTCTCCCCACGTGTTTAATCTGAAGGCCAAAGCCTTAAATAAAAAGTGTTCTCTGTGAGTATAATACTGCTGGTTTCAGAAAAATCCTAAAGTAAGAGCTCAGTTTTCCAGTGTGTGTTGTCCTAATAAGCTTCAGAAGGTTCTTGATTCATGTCAGTAATTCAGGGCTCCACCGCAGTATTCTTCTCTGGCCATCCTCTGGGAGAAGGGGAGCACTTAAGTTTAATTTTTACCAAATCAGCTTTGAAGAATAGGTTCAGATTTCAAATAGTCTCTGCTGGGTGTATTTCCAGGCACGTAGTAATGCATGCTGGGCAGTGCATAGAGCTAGTTTTATGTAGTCTCCTACCCCCACCACCAATCTTCTTTTGCCAAGATTAGAAATAATTTCCCACAACGTTAGCCCAACTAAGACAAGCGAGCTTTTGGGTAGTGATGAAAGAGGTAATTTTGTTTTGAGTAATAATTTGTCCTGCACCAAATCCTGCTCTTTCTGATGATTGCATTACTCTACCTCGTCCCTTTGATCAGGCACATGTGTGTGGAGAGGTCCTGGCTGCGTGCGTTTCAGAGAAGACAGGGAAAGGCAGCACTGCAGGCAGTCACGCACAGCTGTTTCCTCAAGCTCCCTTTCTAGCCAGCCCGCACTGCAGGGCCTGGAGCTTAGCAGAGACCTGGCCCCTCTGCTCTACTTCCATCCCGCGCTCAACCCAGGCCTCAAACGCATTTAAGTGTGAGGAGTCGCTGTGTTTATTAGCTGTGAATTCACAGACCAGAACGAACCACATCTAGTCAAGCAATAGTCCGTGCTTCTGCCCGAAAACAGCAAGCAAGCAAGACAAGGAGCGATGTTGGGTGACAGTGTGATGCCGCAGACAGGAGGACGGAATCGTCCTGCTGTCTCCCTGTAGCCAGCTGTCACTACGGTGCTTTGCTATCTCAGTGCCTCCTCTTGGGGTGCTTGTCAGCTCCGGCAGAAGATGTCTGAGAGGAGGTGAATCTGACATTTCAGGAGTTTGGATCTTTCCCAGCTAACGTGTGTCTTTCATTTGATTGTCCGATGATTGAGAGGCTGTACTTTTGATTGGAATGTTTCACAGCGGGGATAGCTACTTTAAAGAACTGATTAGTAAGACAGCTAAAGCGGGCAGCACCTGTAGCTCAGGGTGGCGGCTCCAAACCCATCCTGGCCAAACTGCAGCAAAGAAATAGCCGGGTGTTGTGGTGGGTGCCTGTAGTCTTGGCTACTTGGGAGGCTGAGGCAAGAGAATCACCTAAGCCCAGGAGTTGGGAGGTTGCTGTGAGCTGTGTGACACCAGAGCACTCTACTGAGAGCAGTAAAGTGAGACTCTGTCTCTACAAAAAAATAAAAGATATACCGCTTTTTCCTTGGTTCCTTCTTTAGGTCCCTATGCAGTTTTTCAGGAATATTTATTATTAAAAAGCATAAATTACAAAAGATATCATTGGACTATTATTATTGAAAATTAAACCAATGACTATTATATTTTTAGTGCCACTTTATGGGGGAAGATAGGTTATTCAGAGAGAAAAAAACTGTGTCTTTGACAAAAATTTATTAAAAGAGCTGCTTATCCATTCATACTGAGTAACTCAAACTAACTTCCAAGTATAAATAAATATGTGTTTAATCAAGAGTAAGAAGGGAGAGACAGTAAGGATCCAGTTAAAGTGATTAGTGCAACTCAGTTGTATCTCACCGTGCAGAAAGGCCAGTGTAACGTGGCCCTCAGTTCTACCTGAGCCAATTAATTCAGTGAAAATTGGATTCCAATTAGCCATCTGACACCACAAAGAGATAAATCATTATTTAACTAATTTTATTAGCTGCTTTTATGGATTGTCATTTTTTTATAAGAGGCTTTCCTTTTTTAACTAATATTAGGTTATGATTTTGCTTAAGATCCTCGGTTCTCCAAAATGTTAAAACTTTAGATGGCAAAATAATTTCCAGCAAGACAGTGTTATACTTGGCCGCTGGTGCCCACCAGATGTTGAGGGTGAAGGCTGGCAGGGCTCCGTTCTCCAGTCCACCCTTGCCCTTTCATTTACCGTGCCACTTCTTCCGTGTTGGCTGCATTTGTGGTTTTATTCAGTGTTTGGGAAGATATTTTATTCTTGCCACAGGGGAAAAGGAAAAAAAATGAAAACAGGACTCTTGTTTTTAGAGTACTTTTGAGCCAAGAATTTGGAAATTGCGTTATTTTTTTCTCTCTTTCCCCCTAGTCTCTCCTCCCTTCCTTCCCTCCTTCTTTTTCTTCCTTCCCTTCCTCCCTCTCTCCCTTTTTTCCTTCTTCATTTACAGGAAAGGAGCTAATATTTTACTGAACTCCTACCATATACTAGGTGCTTTATACATCTATTAAATAATAAGGAAAATTAAGTGTGTTTTGCATCGTCAAAAAGTTGCAAGTAGTAAGACAAGAATGGAAAAGCAAGTATCCATGTCCTCAATACTAATATGAAGCCAGTAGATGGTCTAATAGCACCCACATAAGAGAAAAAGTCAATTCATGTTGAGAAGAAAGGGGTCAAGGGAAGGGAGAGTGGAGGAGGAAAGGGGATGGGTGTGTTCCTGCTTAATGGGCACTGTGTAACGGGGTATATGGCACACCTCTTGGGTGCAAGACACAAGTACAAGAGACTCTACCTAACAAACGCAAACATTATAATGTGGTTATTTGTACCCTCCCATTAATCTGCAATTTAAAATTCTAAGTAAAAAAAGCAAAAAACAGTTGTAAGTAGACGTGACAGGGATATTTAGCATAGAGCATTTCTTCGCTCTTTGGGGTTTCAGTTATGAGAGAGCCGCAGTAATTAGGCTAGAGGTGCTACAGCTACGTGCTAATGTCCCAAGATCTTTAACAAGTAGCAAAAGAGAACCCATGTGTCTTAGACTGTGATTCCTCTGATAGTATTTGACGGGGTTAAAAAATGCAGTTAGATTTTAACTGGAGAGATAATCGCTTTGCTTTAAAATAAATTACTACAGGCAAAACTGAACCTAAAGAGGTCAGAATTGGGATTCTGTTTCCAAAAGAATATCGACTGGGAGGGGGCCCAAGGCAGCCTTCTGGTGCTGAAATGGAACTAGATTCTGGGTGTTAGTTTCATGGGAGTACACATATGTGAAAATTAATTGACCTGTAATTTAAGATATGTACACTTCACTGGACATAGAAAAAAAAACTTACAAAAAAATAGCTGCCAAAACATGTCTTCTCTCCCCAACACATGAATAAAACTCATTTGCAATTAGCAATTTCAACACTTAGATATATTTTAAGGGACTTTACATACCCATCCGTGTTTCCCGTTAGACAGCCTAACCCAAGTTAACAACCCATTAGGCAGAACCTACAAGGGCTGTCCAGAGTGCATCTAGCCACATATGTCTTTAGTTTTCATATTACATGGTAGATAATTTCCGGATAGCCCTTGTATATATTGCCCTCAGATTAAGGTACAGCCTTATAAATTTTAAATTGGGAACAATCCTCTCATTGACATTAATGATAGTTTATATAAATATGTTCGGGAATTTGATACAAACTTGAGTAGTGCAGACTCCTTTTATTAAAACATGTAAGTGCAGCTATAAAACCTGATACAGACCAGGGACTCATTAAGCCACCAGACTACCCGCTGAGACAGCAGGGAGCTCTACTGGTGCCTGCAGTTCAGTGTGCTGCTGGGTCACTTGTGCAGCCCATTTGCTCAACTTCTCAGAGAATATTAATATCGTTAGACACATTAGCTAATAACTGTAAACAGAAAGTAACCATTAGGAAGTTAATTTAAGTAACATATGTATCATTTAATGCCAACCTATTATTTTTGTCCACTTCAGTAATATTATCAATAGAGACAATATCTTGCTTCAACAATACAGTAGTACACACTTATTCTGATAATTAGAATTTTCTCCAAAACTTGGACGGTAAGGTAACTTGAATTGAAAACAATTAGTTTGCATTCCTTCTTCAGATTATCACACAAGCTGACAGGGAGGATTATTCTTCACAGGTAGCACAGAAAATACAGGTTGCAAGTAATTTTTCCCTGTAGACATTATCCAGCATATCTACTATAATGTTGGAAAGCAGGTTATTAAAGTATAAATATTGTGGATTTGGGTTTCAAATTTTGGGAACCAGAATCACACTTGTCTCAGTATTTTTGTGGTTTCTCCATCTTTTTCGCTTCACTTTTACAACACAAATTTCATGAGGATAAAAAAGCATACTTGGCTTTTAAACTATGGTGTTCTGCTCCCCGTGGATTTTTAATGAATGCCAGTTTCAGGTAATGAAATTGATGCTAATACTTGAGTACTCTAGTTGTCTGCATGCATATTTCAGGAAAACTGCAGGTTTTTTATTCCAAACTTGGTAAATGCATTGTTGGCCATCATTTTTACATAAACTAGAGAGCTTTAACCTATGTGAAATGTATCCCCTAGCTGTTAGTACAGTATGATTAACAGACAATTAATAAAGAAAATAAAGACACTTCTCTTTATATCTCTATAATTATTTTAAAAGTCAGGCAACAGAAAAGGAAGAATCAGAAAGAAAATGCAAGATAAGATTTGAAAGCAAACACTGCCAAGCCAGCTCACTTGGATTGCTTCTCTATTTTCTGTTACTTTCAATTTCTTTCACTACCTCCCTGCCTTCTTCTCCCTAATCATCTTGTCTTTTATTTCAGTGTCTTTGGCACACAAAGCCTTAAGTTTTGTTTCATACATAAATGTAGCTAAAATAAAGGCCAGGAAATCTCATCACATATACCAATATCTCTTCTTGTACGTTTATACCAGTATATTTTCATTTCTAGCATATTTCATTTAAGCTTCTTTCTCTTTCCAATTTTTTCCTCAACCAGCCTCTCCTATTCCCCTCAAGGCTACACAATTCTCTTTCTTTTGACCACATAATATCTTTTGTTTTCTTATAGTGTGTGATAAAACTTTGACTTTGTACCAAAGTAATGTTTTCCGTGTCATGGTCGATATCCTTCCTGATAAGTCCCAGCCTTTGGAGATTTTTGTTCATGGCAACACATTTGATTCACATCTTTAGGATATTCGAGCAATGGCATATGTAACTGTAAAGGAAAAAATACTTATTTTCATATGTTTTTTCTTTTTCTTTTCATTTCTCTCAGTGTGTGCTGTATTTGTGGGCCTTGAAAATTCTTTACCCCAAAACACTGTTTTTACTTCGTGGAAATCATGAATGTAGACATCTAACAGAGTATTTCACATTTAAACAAGAATGTAAGTATACGTCAAGCTTCTTCCTTTAACACTATGTTTCATCAATATTAAAAGCATTTGTGATCTTTTCCTACATGTCAAAATTTTAGATTGACGCTTTCTCATTTTATTCTGTATTTATTTTAAAGCATGGACAGTTATAAAAATACAGAATTAATTCCTTTTTTAGTTATAACTTCTCTATAAGGTAATCTAAGAATGTAAGTTAACATTTGATGTAATGTCTCGTAATTGATTTGTGGCTCCTACTGCTTAAGATAATAATTCTACTCTTTAATTTCACATCTCTCAAGAAAAGCAAATGGGAAGAGTGGATTGAACCCTGTACCTCTATTTTGGACCCAATAGATATTAGCTTCTAGTGCATTTTATAAAATTAAAGATGATGTCTTCTTTTAGATACAGATATAGGAGTGCAGCACACGTTCTTTAAATTTCCTTTTCCACTTCTCAGCTTTCACTGTTGTGTACTGAAACGTGTGAAGTTATACAGAGACTAATATTTTTGTTCTCTATATAAACAAATCAACAGTTAAATTGAAGGCCAGGTACTAGTACTACACATACCAGGATTTTTCTATTTCATTTCATGCAGTGGAGCATGAAAGCTTCTCTTGAAACTTTAGATATAAGTCAATAAAGAAAAAGCAATCTGCAGTGAGATAGAAACAGCTTTAGCATATTTCTTGCCATATGCTTTTCTGTAAAATCATTCACTAATAGCAAGCAGCCTATGGCCGTTTTCCTGTTAGTCTTCCAGTTGTTTGTGTATATTGTGATACATCCGTAGATCAAAAGCCAGGATGTCCATAGAAGTTCTCAGCTTTACTCTGTAAAAAGTTATGAAAACTTGTAAAATGTGGATGAATGACAAAAAGGAAAAACACCATATATAAAAGGTCAATGTGTAACTCTTCAAAAGTCTTAATTATATTTTGGAATTTGCAATGTATAATTGTATGCTAATAATATGGTACTGGCTAGAAAATGTTTTTTTAAAAAACTATTCTTAGCTCTATGTCACAAGAATAAACATTTGTTTTTTAAATCACATTTTAAAAGGTAAAATAAAGTATTCAGAACGTGTATATGATGCCTGTATGGATGCCTTTGACTGCCTTCCCCTGGCTGCCCTGATGAATCAGCAGTTCCTGTGTGTACACGGTGGTTTGTCTCCAGAGATTAACACTTTAGATGATATCAGAAAAGTAAGTTCCTGGTGGTTCATGCCTGTAATCCTAGCACTGTGAGAGGCCGAGGCAGGGGGATCATTTGAGGTCAGAAGTTTGAGACCACCCTGAGCAAGAGTGAGATCCCATGTCTGTAAACAATAGAAAAGTTAGCCGGACTTGGTTGCATGTATTTGTAGTCCCAGCTGCTTGGGAAGCTGAGGCAAGAGGATCACTTGAGCTCAGGAAT